ACATTTTTTGCCATTATCCGATAAAGACATCAGTAGGTACATAGATCCACGTTATTTCTACATAGATTCAACGAAATTACGTGGATTCGACGTGGATGTAACGTGGCTGATTTTATCAGGTAAACAGTTTGTCTTTTTCGTACTATAAACACGAGACAATAAGCGACGTTGGATCGTGTTTGTTAACGTATATCCTTTTGATTAAATAAATACACAACTATATAAGCGTGCGTATCATACAACGTGTTACATATCATTACGCCCTGAATCTAAACTCACGAATGAACAACGTTCACTTTGAAGAGTGAGAAAGGAAACATTGTTAGATTATTCTTTTGAGACTTTTCTACTATGTGCGTTAATTAAACCCCACATACAAAATACACGAGTCTTGTAGCTAAGCTTTATAAACCGTTGTTCAGATTTAACAGTTACATATGACGTTCAAACGGTGCGCGACATTGAATGCGGTGTCGCGCAGTTAATAAGGGGGAAGACATGTCTTTGACCCTTTTTTGTATAATATTTTATAAAGATTCGAAAATTATTATTAAATCCTAATAAAATACATGATAATGTTGACGATCACATGTAAGAGAAAAAATTTTTTATATAGTAGAAAAAATACAAAGTGCAGCTGCTTAAAGTTGTCGTTTAGATTTTGCGCGGGAGAATGCCCGGGCCCTTGTAATAAATTGAAATTAAAGAATCAAAATTTATTCGTTAAATTATAATCCTCCAATATGTATGAATCTAAATTTAGCATAAAAAAAATTTAAATGAAAAACGTTTCAACAAAATTTGACGTTGTGAAATTTTTTTAAAACGTTTTCTATCTTTCAATTTTTGTTTTGCTACATTAACATTCATACGCATTGAAGAATCACAATTTAACGAAAAATTATTGGTTTATTGATTACAGTTCGTTACGAGGATCTAGGCATTTTCCCGTGTGTTTGTATTTTTTTCTATTTAAAAAAATTTTTTTTTGTACATTTGATCAGCATCGTTATCATGTGTTTTATTATTAAGTTTCAACAATAATAATTTTTACTTTTTTATAAAATATTATTAAAAAAGGGTCAAAGACACAAATCCTCCCTTGATCAATCACACATTTAGTTGGTACAGTTTAAAACTGTTAAATGTTGATGTGCGTTAACGTAGTTGCAAAATTTTTTCACTACAATAATGGCGTTATCAATAAAATTTATTTGACTCTACACAAACCGAATCTCTACGTTCTTTATCTCTTATATATTATTAGACATTTCAAATAGAAATGTGTCGTCGCTCGGTTGGCTTTGAGAAAGCTGTTATCTAAAAGTACGCCATCGTGCTATGTATATAAATGTTACGGATACATTTGCGTGAGCTTATCGTTAAAATCGAGATAAAATAAACGTATATAAATTATTTCGCAATCACGCGATAATCCCACGTCGCGTATACGTTTACAAAAAAAAAGTCAAAGTACGAAATAAACGATACAATAAAAAAAAAAAAAAAAAAAAACACGATGCTTCTTTTGCAACATATTACAAAACACTGTTCTACGTTGCAGCCCGTATTTTCCATATATTCAGCTGTATTTTCGTTTCTTCACGTGTAGACAGATACAGCCGCGATGGTAGTTGTCGGCGGCGCTAAAAGAGTGTTACACATGCGACATTTACCCCATTGCCGTATTTCGTAACGCGTATAACGAAACACGTGTGGAAGCACTTGAGGTGAAAATAACGTCCTTGCGTTTTACCTTGTACGACGGATACCTAAAGTTTTCTTGTACTCCGACACAACTCTTTATCCGTCATTTACTTCATCTGCAGAGTTTCAGTGAGTTCAATTTTCGCTGCGTCTGAGTTGCGCACGCTTCTTCAATGCGCACGGCATGTTTTATGTATTAAATTTTACAACTCTATCAACAATTGTGTATTGTTAATAATATTGAAAATTGGTTTACAACCAATTTTGAAACACACGAAAAATTATATATTATACAGTTTTGGTGCACAATTAAACCTGTTATACCTGATAATCTTTCAGTTTTATATACGCCTCGGCTACCAAAAGGAATTGCTGTACGTCAGTTAATTTTTTTTGTCGGGAATGAAAACTGTGTCGCGTCAATTTTTATCATTTATTTTCCTTCATTTTTCAACTAATGCAACAATAAGAATATAATATTAAAAAATATCACAAATATTTAGAGTATCGTATTTGTCCGATTGAGAAACAAACGTACGTGAACGTATATGATTTATAAAAGATTTATAATTAAAGATTTACACACGTAAGCATTTTTATTTCAATTGTTTTGGCGTTTACACACATTGATGAGCGCACTTACCAAAAGATGTAGTTTTAAATTAACCGTAGATTGTGTGCGTTCTCCATCATCGCTTTCCGTTTGTGCATTTCCCGTGTTTCCAGCCTCAGCGTCACGTCCTTTGTCATCGTGACGAGAGAGTCATGTAAAAGACGCGTTCCTTCTCTTTCAACTTGTTGCACAACCCCATTGGCCGCTTTTATCTGCGTTGTTAACATTAATACTCGCTCTTTCAGTCCCAATGTCCTTCTTTTCCCTCGCAAACTTATGCACGTGATTACACTTTTTATTCTTTGCTCTGTGTCATGATGATGAGTTTGAACGTCACGTCATCTTTTTCATGCAGCTGCTATACATATGAATCTAGAATTTTGTGCTTTTCCATGTTTTCAAATGCTTGCTCCATCATTTTTATCTCGTTTAGAATAGCTCCGGCCTCTTTCTCATTCTGCACAACTATAAATATATATACACGTTTGTTGTACACGTTACATTTCTGTTCGCGTGCGTGTCTGTCGACTATTTTTTGACATTAAAAAGCTTTTAATCGTAGGTATAAATGATTGCGGAAATAAACAACAAAATACGTCTCGACTTGCGACATGTCTTGCACGTGATCTCATCTCTATGTAATTAATTAATGCTGTATATTTTAAATGTACAGCGCATTAACGTTTGCTTTCAAAAGAAAGATTAAATGTACGCTACCTGTTTTTTTTTCCGATACGCGGTTTAACGTAGAAACGTATACGTTTGTTGTTTCAATTTTTTTATCTTTATTCACGCATTTTTGTTAACTACGTTTAAATGTTCTTTGCGTTTACTTAACACAACGCGCACCACTATTCACTTTGTTGTATTATCTAGAAAAAAATTAAGTCTAATCGCTACTCTAGTGCAAATATTTACACAATATTTTACGATATCGATATACATACTATTAATGTTAAACGGTAAAATATTTCACTCGAGTATTTATATTTTTCACAAACTGCATAAAATTTATTATATAACTTACAATAAACTTAAATTTTTTTTACTCGCAGTCACAACTCTTTCAACTCGGCTCTCATTTTACGTTACGTAGTCATTATATAATAACTGTAACTTATCCCGTTGCTCTTTTTTCCAACACTTTTATACATATCTAATAAAAGTTTCATTTCTTTCATCTCATTTGCAATTTTTCTGCACGCACATGCATCGTCTGTCGTTTATTTTCTAAAAATAAAATACCGTGTCGCCGCAATAGCAATATTGCAGTATTTTATTTAAAAGCACTGCAGGATATCTTTGTGTGGACATACTTGAGTTGCACCTTCAAATCCCTCACGTACGAGCTCCGCGTCCGTCATCTTTTCATTTTTAGCGCGATACGTAGGATGGTTCACTTTTCACAGCGTCCATTTTGATATCCTTTTCGCGCTTTACATTATTGTTGATACATTAATTAAACGTGCCAACTAAAATTGCAACTGCCATTATTATATTTTTTTGACAATGTACAAATCATAAAGTCACGTTAATTTTTTGCTTTTACAGTTTTTTTGTTATTTATAATATTTAAGCGATTGTAATACAAAAATGTATTTAATTTGTCTAATTCAATTGTAGGTTGAAATAATTTTCAAATTGTTATTAATATTGTACATTTTACAGTCTTAAAAAAATCAAACTCTACAGTTTTGTTGGAAATTGAATAACAATAACAAAAAAAAAAAAAAAAGACTCGATTGGTTAGGAATTATACGGTTTGTAGCAATTTTTAAACAGTAAATTTCTTTGTTTTTATCACTGTGCGCCGTACGGCATAATAGCGCAACGCAAACTGGGTTCGAGGCTTCCCGGTAATTCGCGCGGTGGGAATAAGTGGGGTACAAGTAAAGTGACTAGAGGTACCGTGAACGTTCTGAACGCGCACCGCACTGCTCCTAGTCACTTTACCGCCACTCTATCCCCCCCTACTCAAGTGCTGTCGCCAAGCCTCGAACCCAGCTTACGTCGCGCTCTCTTGCACTGTGCGGGCGATACAGGTATCTGTGGCGACTGTATTTTTTGGAGTTGAGATCCAGCGTATTCGGCGCTTTTCGTTTGTTCTTTCGATAATTTATCGTGTGTAAATCTCGCATACGATTACGTCGGGTGTGTCGACAGTATATTGTGCGATCGTCGAAACGCCAGGCAAGTGCATCTACTCCGCGTAACGTGATGCTCCGCGTAAACTCACTCTGTATCTTTTTCCAATTGTCCCCCTAGAAAAAAAGACAAAGAATGAGTTTACGCGGAGCATCACGTTAATCAAAGATTGTGTGATATCGGCTCGTAATTTTGTATTGGTATTACGTTTGTTTTCGATACGTGCAATTTTAGTGTTCGTGTCCATTCGGTGGTACTTGTCGAGACGACGCAACGCACGACGCCATTTATACACACAATGACGACCCACGATAATTTTTTATCGTGGGAGAAGTGTAATCGATATCCCTACGTGGACAAAGTGTCCATGGTAGAAGCGGAAGAAGAGGATAGTGTTGATTTTGTCTATCAATTTGTGAAGAAAAGATTTGTTTCCACGGATCATGAGAGTTCAAGTATATTTCACACTGCTCCGGAGATAATTGGGCCGCCGAAATTTCAACGTTACGGACAAACAATTGATTTTCGAATCCTATTTCACGATTTTCATGTATGTATATTTTCCAATGTGCTACCTGCATCTTCTCCGTTATACCAGTCTTGTACAAAAAATAAAAACGCGTTATATATACACATGTTACACGTTACAAGATTTTGAGCACTATTTGATAATTTTCAATTTTTTCCACCTACAGATGATTAGAGACGGTACTGGTGTTTCAATATCTCCGTGGCGAAATAAGGATATTATGAGACCAAAAGATAGGCAATTTATACACAACGATTTCGATGCGATGACGAAAGACAAAAGATATATCGGTATGTATCATATTTAAATTAATAATAAGATATTGCTTGTGAAGAAAATGCCATATACTTTTGCACGAGAGACACAAGAGAGTAAATGTAATGATATTTTCTCCATTTACAGATATCGAATTTCACGAAGCTGTATATCCAATTAGGGTCTGCATTTACGAAATATGTAAACCTGGAAGCATACGTCAAATTTCAGCTCAAGATTCTAATGGGTCGTGGCATGAATTGTGGAACGTTTCTCATCAGCCTTTCCTGTATATTCCACCCCCGCAATCAAGATTATTTTCTCCACCGTTGTCGTCGCTATCGTGTACCATAAAAACTAAAATGCTCAGATTAGTATTTGGGGGCAGTTGGCAGGTTTCTTACACAAAACTAGACGCCGTGATGCTCATCAGTACATCGAAATTGATCCAATCTAAAAATCCCAATGAAAGTTTACCGGATATAATAAAGAGAATTAGTTCCATGTACTATCCATATCACAACAATTGTAACTTTACAACAGATTTAAATAGCGTGCATTTGGACATAGCATATCTGCAAAAGAATTTTCACTATTATTGCAACATTTCTAATAGGTATGTGTATTGCATTATTTTTCAAGATTTGGTCGATATGAAAATTTTTTTTCACAACATTACATAAAATTTGTCCTTCATGTCTGTAGAGAGAGAGAGAGAGAGAGAGAGGCGAGAGTGGCCATTTCGCGCCAGGACCGCATAGCGAGCGGAAAATGATGATTTTCGTTCCGCTAAACGAGGACAAAAGTAATCATTTTTCGTCCGCCATGCCATCCTGGCGTGAAATAGCCGTTTTCGCTCTCCCTCTCTCTCTCTACAGGCATAAAAGTTGATTTCTTCGTAAAGATATTGTGAAGAATATCGTGTGCACCAAGGGACAAAAGTAGCGTTTTCCAAATGTAAGTAAGGTTTGCCGCTTTTGCCTTTTCGGCTCGCGCGGCAAACTTTATACTCGTCTGGAAAACGCTACTTTCGCCCTTTTGTGTTCACTATACTATTTTTTCCCCATCTATATAATGATGATTATTATTATTTGTCATTCAATTACATTTGCAGCAATGTAATAGCGAGTGTTTCTCATGATAATCGTATGATGAGGTGTGAAAAAGTGTCAGAGGAGATAATCCCTGGTTACACGCAACCTTCCGGACACAGATATTCGCATCGTATTTTATTGAAGGCATATCAGACTAATGCCAATAAGCGTTTGAGGCGCTCTTCGACTGAATCCACGGAGCCGTTGTCGTCATTGTCAAGTTGCAGTATATCTGCGCTTCCTGTAAAGTATTCTCCAAAACGTCTCGTTCTCATTATATTATTGTAGAATGTCATCTCGAGAGTTAAAATTATATATTTCATTTCTTTGCAGGACGAAGTACTATTAATGATATTTAAATACTTGGATTTGACAATGTTATGTCGCATAAGTCGTGTAAATAAACGTTTCAATTATTTAGCACGAAACCCTACACTCTACACAAGTTTAAACATGCGATGGATTCATGAACCTGACGAATATATAAGCAATATATTGCGTTACTTTACACCTAGATGTGAACAATTGCGACAATTAGATGTTACAGGATGCACATTTACAGTTGATGATATGACAAACTTTCTCCATACGTGCGGCAGTCGTTTAACGCATTTGAGATTAAATAGGGAGTGTTTGACGCCGATAAGACAATATAGCGAGATCGATTTGAAACCTATCCTATGTAAAATTCCAGACACGTGCATAAATTTGAAAGGTAAACATGTGTATATAGTATATGTAAATAAATGCCAAGATTATTGTGATAAATTGTTCGACACACAAATTCTAACATGACGTTTTCCATAGAATTGGATCTCAGTTATTGTTATGTGGACGATCAAGGATTTTCGTATCTCGAGAAGCTAAATAATTTGGAGCATTTAAACCTTTTCAATAATCACATAAGATACACGAACGTCTTTGCAATATATTGCAAAATAATCCACGATTGCGTGAGTTATTGGTGGACCGTACAAAAGATGCAGTTCTAATAGAGTTGGGAACGTCGTGTCGCGACTTGGAAGTGATATGTTCGTCATTGAGCCCAACGCATGTTACATCTCGGGGTATTAATGCTCTGGCCAATTGTAACAAATTAAAAAAAATAAGATTCAATCTGTAAGTGTATATGTTACATGTAAAGAAACACATTATTGTATTTTTTTGTTTAAAATTTGTTTGCTTCTTTCGATTGAGCATCATCAACTTGCGCATAAAATTATGTAAAATTTTTTTTCGGCACATTAAAGTGCTGTATTAATTTGTAAAATTTTTGTTGCAAATTCAGTTATTTTTTTACAAATATCGACGATACCTTATTTAATATGTTTTCCCATTGTTCAAATTTGGAGGAGCTTTATTTATCGTGGCCTTGTCTCACTCGTCGTCACTTAAACATATTAGCGCAATGTAAAAACTTGAAAAAACTATATTTCGTTGGCGTTACACTCGACAAAACGCCTGAGTGTTATTCTGTTATTTTTGAACAATGTTCTAAATTGCGAGAATTTTATTTCCTTTATTGTAGAAATTGTATATCTAATCAATTGTTTAATGAATGGAAGGAAAGATGGCCGTATGTGTCCGTCTATACCATACGGTAAAAAGATATCTTGTTAACTCGCGCGGACACTTGGGAGCGTCACAAACATTTTTCTTTTTTACCTATACATTTCACGTGACTATGTATCATTGTCGTATTTTCCATATAGTTTCGTTTTTTTTTTTTTTTT